TAATCAATGCAAATTAAAATGAATGGGGCCACCGAATGATTAACTCCTTCTATAGTTGCTGAGAATTGTGGAGCCAATAGCCAGTGTTATCTTAGAATGCTAGTAAGCTCAGTTAACTGCCTTGCCCAAGGACACACAGCTAATAAACATTTGAGCTGCAATTCAAACCTTGATTTGTCTGACTCCAAAGCCTGGACCGACTTCACTTTACCGTGTTGCCTAGGAGGACAATGTTTTAGTGCAGAAGATACTGAGATATCTTGGAAAGAAAGTCAAATTGCCCCAAATGAAATTCTAGTAAGCTACAGTGGGAGGAGACACTTTCTCTGGAATGGTTCTGATATTTACCGCTTTATTTACCCTTTTTCTCTCTTGAACTTTCTACCAGCTTTGATTCTCATCTATAGTTTCTACTACCTCTTCTAATGTCTCGTTCATGTAGCAGAGATACTACATGAAAGGGAGCCAACATCAGGGTCTTCCCAATGTGGATGCTGGCTGGCCCTGATGCCCCCCAACCCCACCACCCCCTGACTGCCAAGTACTATTTTCTGGGCCTCATTTCTGAAGGGGAAGGAAGGAGAATACGGCGTTGCCATATTCAAAACCTAGCATTTTGTCTCCCCCTACTTCTGCCTCCTAATGTATCAGCAGCTCTGTATAATGAAAATCTAAATTATTTGTGTGCACACATAGCAACTGTTTATTTGCTGTTAGCTTTGAGGACTCAGTGGGGGTTTGACGAGTTTAGAGAAGAGATCAACCCTGGGAGAGCCAAATCTCAGAAGCAGATGAAAAACATGAAGCTTAAAATGCATTTCTCTACATCTGAGAGAGAGGCCAGTAATAAATATCTTTCAACTCCAGCCCCACTCCAGCTCAGAAAATGCTCTTTAACCAAGAACAGAAGGTGGCTATGACTCTTTGGAGGGGCCCTGCCTGCTGTCTACTAAGAAAGCTTTACTGGGTATGGCCAGAGATTGATTGTGAGTTCTAGAAATAGCACACCTTTCCCCTCAAGCCACCAAGTAGGATGCCTTCCATCCTTTACAAAATATATTGAGTATTAGTTTTCTTGAAAGTTCCATTTTTCCCATCACCAGGCTTCCTTGGGACCAAATACAATCTTGAAACTACTTTAAATTAATATGAATATTTCTACAGAAAGCGAATGCCAGACTCTGAAGAAAGTGTCCCCATCACATATTGAAGGAGCTAGACCTTTCCTTGGCACAATTTATGTGACAAATGTATAAAGCCTCTGCTTCCCAGAAGCTTCCTCATTCCCTCATCCTCACAGGGTTGTCTCTCATCCAGCCAGGACTTCATATTGCCATCTACTCTTACATAAGCCAGAACTCCTTTCCCAGAGACTAGAACATTTCCATCTTGGCTCAGGTCACACGCTCCTGCAAGGCAGAACCCACTGCCTGGAAGTCACTAGCAGCTGTAAGTGAATGAAAGCAGCTTCTCCTCTGAGAGCAGAGGTAATGAGGTGTGACATTAGAGAGACAGCACCACTGAAGACACACCCCAGTGACTTAACACTTGCTAGCCCAGGTGTAGAAATTTCAATCCTCTAGACACAAAAGCATGCCAACTAGGTAGTTGCTGCCCATCTGACATTATTTTCTGAAAGGAGTATCTTGCAAAATGGGCTCTTATGAAATACTAAATGGACTGTGAGTTAGTCCAGAAGAATCACTTCCCACCTCTCTCCCCCTCCCCAAGAGCTAAGTGGTTCCAGGGTCAGAATGGGCCCATAGTTAGGCACTCAGCCTGCATGCCTAGGCAAGGAACATGACAGCCAGCCAGGCATGGGACAAACCGCAGAGTCTTTTAGGTTCTTACCTCACTCATTCAGCCTCCACCTGACCCATGGGCTCTCCTTCCTTTCTGTACAATAGCAGCCCAAGACACAGATTTTGCTTCTAAAAGTTTTCTCCAGGCCATGGGGAAAAGAACCTAGTCTTGTCAGACATCTATGTAAAAACAAGGCCTGGCAGGAAAGAAACCAGACATAGGCAAGGAGGAATTTAAATTTGAATTGAACATGGGGCTAGATCCGTCTTTGAATATAAGCCCCTGCAGGCCTGGTTTCTTCACAGAAAAAAAATAATCTCTTTTAAATCCAGTTTCCTTTCATTGGAAAACAGGAGAAAACAGTCCAACTTAATTCAACCTGCAACTAACTCCTGCAAGGTGATAGTTATTTAAAGTGTTATTTCAAATGACCCCCTTCCTCTTCAGTCTCCTTTCCAGGGTCCAATTACTTCACAGTGTGTTTAGGTGTCTGGGCCATGGAGGAAAGCAAAGCATACACTTCCTGGGAAGCAGTGCATAAGGCAATGGCATTGCCTGGTGGCTAAGAGCACTCACAGAAATGTTATTTTCCACTGGCCCCTCATACCCCCAAGCTTCATTCTCCACCCTTCCCTGCCATGCTCTGTGCCAAAGGAGTCTGACCTCAACTGACTATAGTAACAGGCTTCTTTTCCAGCTGCTGTATGGCTGGATCTGGCTAATGATGGGCACTGGCAGGAGATCAAAGAGTGGAAAGAGAGTGAGATATGGGTGTTCATTCCCCTCTCTCCCTCCTTACTGCATTTGGGCAGAGACTACATTGTGCTACCTGAAGCAACAGCTCCTGTGAGGCAGCCCCTCTTGTACATGTGCAGTACTTACTGGATGCCAATAACACTGTTTTTCCCCTTTGTCTTTTCAGTGTTAGGAGTAGTAATAATAATAGCCCCTCACTGTTCATACTCTTTCTATGCCTCACCATCAGTGGTAAGTTCCCTTAACCCTGCACACACCATCATAAATTGTCCTTTCACTGAGCTCATCTCCGCTAAACTCCTTGAGTATACCGTCTTTTTCTTGGCAGGATTCTGACTTATACAGTCACTTTGACAAAGTCTATCCTACAGAAATCCAGAAGGTTGCCTAGCCCGAGAAGAGAGATCGCCTGATCCAACTATGTTTTCTGAAGTGAGCTATCTGCCTTTTCTCAAATATTTGACATATTCTCTACACCGTGGGCCTTCCTAAATTAAAGTTACATTATTGTGTCGACACAATAAAATTGAGGTTTAAGCTAGTTGCATTTTTGTTTTAGCTGTTCTTAGTCATCTTTCTTAAAGAAAGGAGGTGCTGCAAACACATTACATTGCTTCCTTCCCAGTGAGGTATGTTCAAGTTGGCCTTACCTTAAACACTTAATGCAGTTCCATGAGGGAGATAATACGTGAAATGAATTCAATCACCGGTTCCCTACCACCTGTTATTCATCTTGCATTTGCCATCTTGATGATAGGAGTCGCTCACATACCAGAGTGGTCATCCCAAAATTTTCACTTGCCAATACCTACACATATCCATTAGACAATGTACTTCCTAAATATCTTCTTTCAAATTCACCTGTCTTCTCCGGCCTCACAGTCACTACCTTCCTCCAGGCCTTGATCGTTTTATACTTAGATTATTGAAATATCTCTAGTTCTCCTCTTCTTTTCTTTCATTCTCCTCACTTTAGCCAAACTTATCTTTGAAAGCTACAAGTTTGTTCATGTCACTTCCCTTTCAATGACCCTTCTTCAGGATAAAATTCAAATGCCTGATTATGGAGTAAAAGGTCCCACGGAATCTGGCTACTGCTTCCCTTTTCAACTTCAGCTTTTGCCACCTCTTTTTACACCCATCTGTCATTCTAATGCTGTCTCCATGACTTGGCTGCCATCATTGCTTGTCTTGTGCACTCTTTGCCTTTGCTGACAAAGCTCCTGCTATTCATCTTTCGGACCCATCTTAGGTATCTTCTTTGCTAGGGTGCTTTCCCATGAACCCCTTCATGCCAGGTTGGTTTAATGACTTCTCTGTGATCATTTAGCTGTTCTTCTTCACTTTTCTAGCACTTAATACACTGACAAGTACTTGTCGACATGTCTCTCAATACCTCACCACTATCCCTTTTAAGGTGAGAAACTGTCTTTGTCCTTTTATCCCCAGAACTTAGCACAGAATGTGTCACACAGTAAGATACTCAAGAAATGTTTTCTGAATGAGTGACTCAGTAATGAATCAACTATAGATGGGGGAAGCATTTAAATTCACTTACCTATGTAAAGCCAATGGAAGAATTCTGACCTCTCATGAGATGGAATGTAACTTATGAAGCCAGTTTTTTTCTATTTCTATCCCTCTAGGTAGGGCTGTACCAAAAACATGCTGGAATTATTAAGAATAGAAACAGATGAGCTGGCCTTTTGAATCACGGGGCCTCCCCATTCCCTAAAGCTGTAGTTATGGAACAATAGAGCTGGCCTGAATTAACTGGGGTCGGAGGGGGGAGGAGTGAGACAAACTCTGCCCCCAGGAGACACCAAGTTCTTCTACACCATCCATCAACCTTGAGCACAGATGGGATGGAGTCCAGGCCTAAAAATACATCAGCCCTAGGTGACATCAGTGCTGTGTTCTTTTGTGGCTAACTCGCCCCAGATGGAGGAGAGATCATTTGACGAACAGTCTTTGAAACAGGCAGATGAACTTATGTCACATTAGGAGTGACTATAGGGGGTAAAAGGCCACCGTGGATTTCCTAGTCAATAAAAATGATCTCTGATAGAAATTTCAATAAGTATCTAACAGAAACATCCTTGTCACTGTCACCATGAATTTAAATTGATTGAGTGCCCCACAAATGCTAGTCTATTCTCAGTACATTTGATGAACACCATTTCTGTATCTCTAAAGGATTAGGGAATATTTGCTACTATATATTTTTTTGCTCATCACCCAGTCAGAACACAAAATGAATGCCTATGAATATTCTAAAGCATAATGAGGAAGGGGCTCCAGGCTAAATGCAAGTATCCTTGACTAACGTTTTCCCCACTGTGAGTCACCCTCCCCCCTCTCCCGAAGCTTCCCCACAACCAGGGGGAGAAAGAAAAGCGGGGAAAAAGAAAAGCAGGGAAAAAAAAGGAAGAGTCAAGGTATACTCCTGATAATGACACAAAAATTGAGCAGTAGTACTCCAGAGATGTTTGGGGGTAGCAATAAATACTTGGGAATGAACTGTGTGTATGGAGTGGTAGGAACCAGCCCTGCCCATCTCATGCTCCCTCCCTGCACAGCTATTCTTACCCAGCCTTAGCTTTGGATCCTATTTTGCATAAAGGAGTACTTTGGGTCTTCGGGTTAGCAGGTACTTGCCAGTTGGGTAAATGTCTGAGAATGTTTCCTCTAGATGAATTTTATAAACAGCCAGTGACCTACTGGCTAAAAGATAAGTGAAAATGAATGACAGTTAGTTTAAAAAACATGCAAACACTAGGCTACACTAATGACAGTTAGATGACAAATGGCCTAATCCTTAGTACCTCTTTTCAGGGCTCTCTCCTCCCATTTCCCACCCTCTCCAATCTTCTTTCAAAGCTCAAGGTTTGAGGCAATGGTCAAGCTCCATAGCATAAGAATTGGTATTCCTCATGATGCTCTCCACCAATATGACAGGCTTGGGGTTTCTTCCAGCAAAGCAAGAGAGCCAGGTGCAGATCAACATGGCGGCAGCTGCTCCACCTCCAGCACAGTAATAGGCCCAGCCAAGCCGACACGTACCTGTGAGAACAGGGACAGAGAATGAGGATTGGGTTGTCTTTTCATATTTTCTCTTCGGTAATGAACTATAGAAATGATTCCAGAAAGTATAGTTTTTATACATTCTCTTTGAGATGCTATGGTTAGGGTGAGAATAGGAAACAGTGAATGCCCCTGGGCTTCCTATTTTCTTCTTTCCTTCTGTGCTGACTGCTGATCTTTGCTTTTTAGCAAGAGGTTGTAAGATTTTATTTTTTTGTTAGAGTAGGAGCCTGGGGGTGGTATGGGTGGCAATGCTAATGACAATGATGACAAGAACAACTTGATAAGATGTCAAGCATTATGCTAAGCTCTTTAAACATATACCTCACTGATCATTACAGTAATTATATGAGATAGGTACTCTTATTATCCCTGTTTTACAAAGGACAAAGCAACTGAGGCACACACAGCTACAGAAGATGAGGCAACTGAAAACCACACAGCTGGCAAGTGCTAAAGATATAAATGCTGACTCATCATGACTTCAAAACTCCACACTTTTAACCACAGTGATAGAATACTGTACATGGGCTGCCTGCATCATCAGGGGATTAGACAGGTAAAATAAAATCCACTCCCTCTTACATCATGTCTCTATCCTAACCTAGCCTTTCAACACCCAGGAAAGAAATATGCATTGGAATCAAAGCCAAGCTTTGAAGTAGGTAGTTTTCTCTTTATAAGGTAACGGGAAAGGTCACCTGCTCAAAGACATCCACCCCACCACCTGCTATTCCATCAGAGACAGGTTCCTTTGTCTGAAAGATTTGTGACTTTTCAGCCATCCTTCAGAAAATGTCAATGCCTAGAGAAATAAGAGCTATTACTTTACAAGGTATCAAAGTAACTAACTGCTAAAATAAAGTTAAGCAAACAGGACTCCATAAATTATGGTAGGGTCCCAGTGATACAAAATTGCAGAAAGGCCCTGAAAAGAAAGATAGGCAGCAACTTTCACTGACCTCTAAATCTTGAAGAAAGTTAGTTAATCCTGACTACAGTCAGTGGAAGATGTCAAGATTGATCTGTATGACAATTTATTTTTTAAAAGGCTAAATTCAAATAACCAACTATTTATTTTCATATAGTACCTGGTGAACCTTAATTTTACTGCTTTTAATTGATTAGTTGGTGTGTCCTAGAAAGAGTCTAAGATGGCCCCAAGCTTGGCTGCTTTCCTTTCCCATTCAGGCCAGCCTAATTTATCCCCACATTTCCCATCTCAGAAATAAAATAGTCTACCACCAAGTCATGTCTCATGCTGTTTATCCTGCCAGAAACATCTTCTCTCCTCTTATTCACCAATCTATAGCTTCCTCAGAGCACAATCCAGAACTTGGCACCTGCTTGAAGCCCTCCCTTGATTCACTCCATTGGGCTCATATCACCTCAACCAAGTAGCCCTCCAGGAATGTATCTGTATACTCCATAGACAGATGTACCTGCTGGACAAAATATTGGGAGAAAGATTTACATTTCACAGTTTTATCTGTCCTTTCCTCTCTTCCAGATTGTTGGCTCAATAGTACAGATGCATTTGTTTCTTTTTGTGATTATACTTTCATGTGCTCTAACCACAGTGGGTACCATTTCAGTATGTGTGATTTAGCCTAACAGTACTTCAAAGCTGAGTACATTGGCATTTTCAACCCTTAACACCTAAAACTACGGCTTAAATTTTGAATTAAAGTTGAAAAACCAGTGAATATAGTATTTTATTTCTTTCTGGAATGTGCCCTGATCCCTTGTACCTTAAGGCTTATGCACATTCTGTTTCCTTTGCCTAAAATATTTACTGCATGTGCACGTGTATGCATATACTTTCCACTACTTTCTTTACTTAGTCAATGTTTAATAATTCCTCAGAACTAAACATAATCATTAATTCTTCAGTGAAGTTTTCTCTGACCTTCCTAAGTCAACTTCCCTCATCAGAGGCTCTCACAATACCATGTATCCTTCCTCTCTACTTGAATGGGTGAATGGATCCCTTATCCCCTCTTATGACCAGTGTCAAGTGTTACAGTCCTTCAGAGGAAATAGTACTTTACCAATAGACCTGGGCAGTCATATTAGTTCCTGAACTCCTGTGGGCCCACCCAAAATCATGGTGAAAGCCCAATTACAGCAGCTATGAAAATAGTGCAAACCTCAGAAAGAGCAAATTTGAAAGAGAAGCCTCCTTTGAGAAAGGAGCTCAACTATCTCCAAAGTAGTTTAAACAAGAACAACAATGGTGGACTCTGAAGACAGTAAACTGAAGAATAACGTATAGAGACAAGCAGCCTATAGAGCTGTATCCCCGCCTTGTTGTTCCTCCCCCTAGACACACACACACACACACACACACATGCACACACAGACTCCCTGGTTCACATACACAAAGTAGGAAGGTTTGAACAATGTTTTGGAATTCACATAGTGAAAACTCCAGAGACTGGAAAACCTTCAACTTCTGCCATCACTGGGAGGAAGACTGCAGACTTTATTGCATCTACTTCACAACCCATAATATGAGGCTCTGGTGATAGCCCTGGGAACTCTCTCAGAAACAGAGAGGTAGAAGCAGAAATCCAGACCAAGTCTCTTTACTCCCAGTTCAGTGCTCTGCCCTCTGCAGGTTTTTTCATCATACCCAAAAGCATTTTCCTCTTACGGGACCCTTGACCTGTAAGCCCTAAGGAGGGGGGTTCCTAAGTCAAGTTGTAATAGACTCACCTGAGCTTCTCTTCTAACCCCCTCCAACAAAAATCTCCTGTACTCACCTGGCAGAGCAGACAGGAGCCAGCTCTGAGGTGGGCCCATTGTCAAGCAACTTCATCCTCCCCAGCTTATTCCAAATCTAGTCTAGGTAAGACATCAAAAGTCTCATTTTGTTTCTTCAGCTGCCTGTCAGGTCATCCCCTCATTCGAGGAGCAAGGATATTTCTATTAGGTACATGCACCCTGGGATCAGGGAAAGACTCATTTCTCTGAATGAAGAGAATAAATGCATAGCATGCCATTACCCCAAAGCCCTAGGCAGGAAGAAAGCTGACAGAGTGGTCAGCTCCAGAGTGAAGAACTGGCTAGAAAGGCCCCAATAAACCTCACTGAAGCCAGAACCAGGTATCACTGGGCTAGGAGCCAACACTAAAGTGCTCCTATTGCCATCCCAAGTGCCTTGTGAATTCCCTCTCACAGAGATTCCTGTTAGACCTCTGAAGGCATCTAAGCCCCAGGCTGCTGTCATAAAGGAAACTAAGGAGAAAGAGGGGAAAATATCTCTTACATCCACATCCCTCCCCACAACTCTACCTGTTATCTACCGGAGGAAAGGAAGAGATTATATCATCGGCATTGTGAAAGAAAAAGAAAAAGCAGACCTTTTAAGAACTACCTTACCATTTGGAGAGCCACTGTAAGCACTCAGTTACTCCACAGAAAACTTGCATGCTGGTCTGATGGCTCACTGAGGAAACCTTCTATGGAAGGGTGTGAAAGTAGGGAGCAGGAGGCAATGAGTTGCCATATTTTACTTCTTGTCGCCTTTTAGTGAAGTCCTGTGGACCATCATCCATTCCTAAATCCCATTATTTAAAGTACTATTGATCCTTATTTTCATCTGACAAACATGTATTGAGTACCAACTATATGCTAGGCATTTTTAATACACAATCTCATTTAATTCTCATAATAGCCATGATTATTTCCATTTACTGCTCAGGGAACTGAGTTTCAGAAAGGTAGATGACTTGGCCCACTTATAAGTGTCAGAATTGCAATTTGACTGCCAGACCTAACTCAAAGTTCATGATCATCCATTTCAACCATGCTAGGAGAATGAAACCAAGAACACAAATTACTACAGTCCAAGTCTTACGAGAATATACAATGTCTTCAGCCAATTACTTCACCTTTCTGGACCTCCGTTTCCTTTGTTTTTAGTGGAAGGATTTACTGAAGAGAATTCTAAAAGCCCCTTCCAGTTCATATTTTCTATTGTAGTATGACTATGATAAGTGCTTTAAGAGATATATGTGTAAAATACTATAGGAATATCCAGGGAAGGAGGAATTATTTGCAGCTGGGAAAATTTGAGCTCAGGTAAGCCTTTGTAGATGCTACATTTCAACTTGGCTTTAGTAGTGGGAAGTGGGCATTCTAGGCAGAGGGAGTGGTTGGCGTGAGCCAAGTTATGTGAGTGAGAAAGCACATGACATGTTTCAGAAAAAGCATAACATTCAGAGTTGTTTCCAAAAAGGAGCTATAGTTGACAAAATAATAAACTGAATCTACATCAGGAGAGGTCATGAAATCTGTCATCTTTCTGACAAGCAGTGTGAAACAATGGAAAGTTTCTGAGCAGGGAACGATATGCTAGAGCAAGGTTTCTCAACCTTGGCGCTATTGACATTTGGGGTTGGACATTTATTTGGTGTGAGGACGGGGGCAGGGGGCGGTTTTCCTGTACACTGTAACACCCTGGCTTCTACCCACTATATATCTATAGCAGCTTATTCTTCCTCCCCATCAAGTTGTGAAAACCAAAAATGTCACCAGACATTGCCAAATGTCCCCTGGTGTGAGGGGAGGTTGCTTTCTATTGAGAACCACTAAGTTAGAGGTATTGTTTGGAAATATTAACCTGAAAGGTCTATGTCAAATAGATTGGAGGTACATGGAGGACATAGGCAGAGAGAGTTAACCAGAGGCCAGGGACACTTCTACACATCCAACAATATATAAAAAAGTTCTCCTCAACAGAAAGTGATCTGGCCAAAAAGTATCGACATTGTCTAGGTTGAGCAATCCTCATGTAGACAAACACCAGATATTTATACTTTAAATTATATTCAAAATAAGTCTCGATGACTAAAAGATTAGCCCAACAGAATGGAATTTCCTCCCTTAAGAACGGCCATGCATGGTTCCTTCTTGACCTGGGAAGCAGACTGGGACCGAGGCATGGTCAGTCTTGAGCATTCTGGTATGTTACC